ATGTATAGCACATGCTGGCTCCGTATGGTTGAACTGTTGCAGGCTTTGTAAACAATAGTTTATGAAGCTGGGAACGAGCATCCGTTTCTCTCAAACTATAGCTTTAATTGTCACTGTGTTTCTTTTGGAAAGCGGCAGTAATATTCTGGCGCAATCTTCTACTAACTCTCATTTCCCCGGGAACAAATAGTAAATTGAAGCAGTTAGAAATCTGAGCACTTAGAGGCAGTCTACTTCTTTTTGAATGACTGCGCATCAACAGGATTAATGCTACTATCCTACAAAGACAAATTTCTTCTACACAGTGAGAATGAGGTTTTAATTAAATCGGCACAGGGATGTGTGCTGACTCTGTTGGTTTGAGCATGCTGCCCTCTGTCTACAAAAATATAAAAACATATTTTTTGCTGTTAAGATTTTTTCCAGTATTTCAGGTAGATGCCTACAAACCCTTTAAGGGATTAAACAATGCACTATAGCCCTCTAGATATCTGTGTCTGGCATTCCATAGAAAAGCACCCAGTTTGTCTTCGGTTGGCTCTGGAATCCTCCCAAATGCTAATATGCTGCACTGCAGTGCTGTAGAACATTGGCTGCATCAAGGATTTATGTTCTCAACCTGTGGATAAATGCAACCTGCTGCTGTTAACATTATACTGGCAGCCATCGTTGCCTAAATAAACCACTGCAATAAGGAGGAAAGTGTTGGGTCGCTCCCACAGATCCCAAGGAGATTCTAGAAGATACCGTTTCTAGGCATACCCTCAGCTGAAGCAGCCAAAATAACATGAGGGGTTGGAAAAGTGGTGTTAAAGCATTATTTTATATACTGTTGCACACTCATTTTATTAGCGCTCCAATATATCTCTAACCTATCTGTTAAATGGGCTCTTGCCAGAGTAATCACATGCACCAGAATGCCTGCAAATGCATCTGGAATCTTACAATAACTGGATGCTGCTTCGTTCTTTAATTGTTAAAAATACATTTGATCTTCACGTTGCTCAGTGTTTTGAAAGGCCTTACATGAGAATTTATTTTTAAAGCTTGCAGTTATGGTATAAATAACCAATGGGATTATTTTGTTCCTTATATAAAGCTCGGGGCCGTCACGGAAACATCTGCTTCTTTTAGGTTGCCCTTCTTGGTCCATCTACCTTCTGCCGCCTCTGCTGTGCTTCAGAGGCTGGGAAGACTCAGACAAAAGGGCACTTTCATAATTGCTTTGCAGAGATTCAAGTTCGCCCAAGCATGGGTTTAAAGAGATAAAAAGCAAGTAGCAACTTATTATTATTGTTATTTTAAAGAAAGACACTCATAAATTTTTAAAATAACATACAATGTACTATTCAGGGACCTTGCATTATTTATGTTATTAGCCTCTTTAATAATAAAAACCAGTATATGAGGGAAGCGAAAGGGAAATGCATACCTGTCTCATGCATGACCATTAATGTGCAAGTGTGCCACTAAAATGGACTTCTGGGGTCTCTTGTCTGCAGAATTTGTTATCAGACAAAAGGCTAGACCCTGCATTATATCAGCAATGAAGACACGGCACAGACGCTTAGGCTCATTGCACTGGTTTAGTTGTGTTTTAATATAGTATAATACAGGATTTTATTAGGTAGAGGTGTCTTAGTTGCTATTTTTTTTAAATTTTTTTGTTGTCTGCTGAAACCCCTTAGCAAAAGGAAGATTGATTTTATATGTTGACTCAGATGCATTTGGAAAAAATCAAATGCAAATTCACATTTTCTTCCTCTATAGTTTCCCCCAGTTTCTACCAGTAGAGGGAGTCTGTGTACACTAATTTGGGATTTGTCACTACTAAGTGAAATAACTTTAGTGCTTACTTTAAGTGAGACCAAATATAATATTTTACATAGCTTTTAGTTTAAAATACATTGCTAAACTATTTCTTAATTGTGGAATGAGATATATTTGTTGCATTTATAAAGTATATTAACACTTGTTCACATTCTTGCTGTGGTATAGTTAGGCTTCCTTTAGGTTTGCCATTGTGCTTCACATGACTTTTGGCATAGCCTCTTCGACACTACTGCTTCTTCCTCCTAAACAATAATGCAGATCACTACCACTTTTGACCCCATTATTTTTGCGTTAAACTTGACATTCAGTATAGCTGTTTAAAAGAATCACTTGCCTCATAGTTGACACACAAAATCTGGCTCTAATACGTAGTATTTCAGGCTGATCAAAACACAATATAGTGGGAATTCAAAATTGACTCCACCGTTTCATGACGCATTGGCTAGTTTCAATACAGATATAGTCCAACTGTTGATTTGGAAGAATCAGGTGAGTGGTGAAGCCCCACTTTGCCACCCAGTACTTCACATTAGGTGGCGCATTGTTGAAAAGCATCTGTTATAGGTATTTGTCATGGAGCAAGCTGGACAGTAAACCATACACTTCAGTACTGAAGTTAACTCTTTATTAGAGAAACACAAACTTCACAGGTTTGGCTGGGTTTCAGGCCTAATGATCACAGCAGTTCATGCCCTGTAGGCCCTACTCCATGAGATCAGTTGCAGAGACTAAAAGTGCCCACCACTCCCATAGCCATCTACGTTTCCTCCTCTCCAGGTCTTCATGCAAGCAATCGGAGACTACGGCTGCATGCAGCCTAACTCCACCTGTTTCAGCCCTCTCCTGGTTTTGGGAGACAGGGGGATGGGAGCTTGCTGCAGCAGGACAGGGAAGCCCCCATGACTCTTCACTAGCCTGATTCATCTCTGCCTCTTGGCCTCCCCCTTCCCACTCTGCCTCCAACTATTGACCCCTACCTGCCACAGACTCTCCCAACTCACTGAGCCATGTTACCCCCTATCAGGCATCAGGGAATCCGATTCCCTCCCCCCCCCCCGTAGGCTGCCAGGAATAGATTGACAAGGAAAGCTCTTACCAATGTCTTTTATTCAATATTCATAGAGAGAGGCTTAGAAATGCAGCCTCTTGGAGTAATGGCGTTGTTCCAAGTAATCTCCACCCTCCTTCTCTCCTCAATCGTCATCAGCAGCACCCACCTTACGGTGGCCGCTTAGGGCCATTTGCCTCCGAGCCCTTTGCTCTCCTACTTTCAATGCTCGGCGGGTTCTGGGAGAAGGGGGGTCTGGAATACTTTCTAGTGATAATGTGTCAGCCAGCTGCTCCGGCTCTGCTTCCCCCTCCTCCTCTCCCATTATTTCCCAACTTTGCCCCTCATCTACCTCTGAGCCATGACCTTCCACAAACCACTGCTGTAAATCTATACTGTCTTCCTCTTCTCTGGAAGGTTGAGGAGGGGGAGGCAGTCTCCACCATTCCTCCTCTGTCTAGTCCATGACACCTCCTCTTCAAAGTCTTCTCCCTGTGACCACCCACCATTGTCCCACCACCATTTCCCAGGCTCAGAGCTTTCTCCCCTTGGCCGTTCCCCAGTTGGTTCCTCCCATGACTCCTCTGTGTCCAACCAATCCTTGACAGTATAGCAGGTCTGTAGATCTGCCATGGGAAAACAACTTCCGTCCCTTTAGCACTGTTTATATATATTAAAACTATTTAGTTCACTTTTCAGTATAAAACACCCAAGGTGACCAACAACAGCAAATTCAACCAAGACAATAAATTAAACTCAGTTCATAGCAAAAAAAGGAAAAAGGAGGGGATGGAGCAATAAAGCAGTAAAATCTCAGAATAGAAGTACAAAATTCATCATCTATTAAAAGCCCAGGAAATTAAAATTGACTTAAGCTGTTAACCTAAAAGTTAACAGACTATCCATTCATCCAGTGACAAACAGTCAGCAATTAGTCATACTGTAGTTTACTATCCTGTTCTGCCTGAATATTGCTGAGGCTCCTTACCTTTAAATGCTAAAAGCAAGTAAAGAATGTCTGTGAAATCTGGGAAGCTGACCTAATATCCTGTGCTGTAAGTTTTCCTTTTCTGACAACTGATGGATGCAGCATCACAACCTGCCTATGTGTCAAAGACTGGCCACACCTTGATCTTTTCCTCACTAAGTTTCATAGCAATAGTTTTACTATCACTTGTTTATGAATGGCTTTATAGTAATAGTTTTAGATATCACTATGTATCTAAAGTCCTTCTCCGTTCCTGCCGGTGTTTGGTATAATTTACAAAGGGCTATGACAACAGAAACGGCCCTGGATGGAGTTCTCATTATTCTTGCTTGTGCTTTATTTCTGAATAAAGTAACATTACTTGTGTAAAAATGACCAATATCAGAAGGGATTAGATTTCTTTATGAACTGATCAGGCACTTGTTGCTGCTGTGTTTCAAGATCACCTCTGCAAGATAGCTGAAGATTTCTGTCATGTTCCTTCAGGAACCACCTTAGTTGATGGGCTTTTGTGTTGAGGGAGTCATTGCATCTGACACCCATGCCTCTCTTTTATTGCACACTTGTTTTTTCAGGCTTTGTGATGCACATCCCATTTGACAGCAGTATGATTGACTGCTGGAACATGGTTCAGTAGGTGCAGCAGAAAACTAGCTCAGCATATGCCAGAGATGTTTGAGTAACGCCGCGGCTGAACATATTCACCAGGCAGAACAATCAATAACTTCTCCATCAGCATGAGTGTTATCTGTTGCTGCAGAAATCAAGAGACACTGCACTATGACACACCATGTATCAGATCTGAGTTTTCCAAGTGCTGAAATAGGACAGCCACAGACAGTGTTTTGCTTGAAGAAGTGTTTGAGATGACTCTTCCTAGCAGCACTCTGTTCCTTTTCAAGGTATGCAGCTTAGCGGCAGAGCATATGTTTTGCATACAGAAAATTTATGGTTCCATCCCCAGAACATTGGTCTTGAAAGACCTACACTGGCTCCCAGTATGTCTCTGAGCACAATTCAAAGTGTTGGTGCTGACCTTTAAAGCCCTAAATGGCCTCTGTCCAGTATACCTGAAGGAGTGTCTCCACCTCCATCATTCTGCCCAGACACTGAGGTCCAGCGCCGAGGGCCTTCTGTTTTTTTTTTTTTTTTTTTTTATAATATTTTTTATTGCATTTTTCCAGATAGAAATACAAGGTCAGATATACAAAGAAATAACAGAAAAGAGAAAGAAAAAGAAGAAAATCATCTTTTCAAAGCATTTTTCCATAACCAACCGGACTTCCCCCCGTCCCCCTCACCTTGCGTTCTTTACAATAAAATTTTTCAGCAAATTATAACCTTATTTCGTGCATTCTTTTGTTCTTTCAAATACTTGTGATTTACGTTTAAAATGCTTATTGTCAATTTACACTAATAATATATATAATGTTCTTTTAAACGTTAGTCCTTTCATTAATATAGCTTAGTTTCCCATACCTTAATCTTATTGCTGGAGCTGAATTTCCCTAATCATGCGAATTCTTAACATTCATATAACTTATAAAATTTTTGTAAATAATCTTTAAATTTTTTCCAATCCTCCTCCATTGCTTCTTCCTCCAAATCTCGGATCCTGGCAGTCATCTCGGCCAATTCCATGTAGCCCATCAATTGCGTCTGCCACTCTTCCAGTGTGGGTAAATCTTGAGTCTTCCAGTATTTTGCGATAAGAATTCTTGCTGCTGTAGTTGCATACATAAAAAGGTTCTATCCTTCTTTAACACCTTCTGACCGACAATGCCCAGTAGGAAGGCCTCTGGTTTCTTGGGAAAAGTGTACTTAAACACTTTTTTAACTCATTATAGATCATTTCCCAGAAGGCCTTCACTTTTGGGCAAGTCCACCAGAGGTGAAAGAATGTCCCTTCAGCCTCCTTACATTTCCAACATTTATTATCAGACAAATGATATATCTTAGCAAGCTTGACTGGGGTCATGTACCACCTGTATATCATTTTCATAATATTCTCTTTCAAGGCATTACATGCCGTGAATTTCATACCAGTGGTCCATAACCTTTCCCAGTCTTCAAACATAATGTTGTACCCAATGTCCTGAGCCCATTTTATCATGGCTGATTTGACTGTCTCATCCTGAGTGTTCCATTTAAGCAGCAAGATATACATTCTCGAAAGTACCTTGGTCTTTGGTTCCAACAATTCTGTCTCTAGTTTCGATTTTTCCACCTGGAAACCTGTTCTTTTGTCCAACTTAAAAACCTCTTGAATTTGAGCATAGTGAAGCCAATTTTGCACCTTATTCTTTAATTTTTCATAACTCTGCAGCCTCCAAGTTTCTCCTACTTTTTCTATAATTTCCCCATATTTCAGCCAACCAACCTCCATATTAGGTTTTTCCGGGCCTTGGCCTCTGCTGGTGAAAGCCACCTCGGAGTCTTACCCTCTAATAAGTCCTTGTATTTTGTCCAGACCATAAATATTGATTTTCTAACAATATGATTTTTGAACATTTTATGAACCTTTACCTTGTCGTACCACAAATATGCATGCCAACCAAAAGCATTATCAAACCCTTCCAGATCTAGAACATCAGTGTTCTCAAGAAGTAACCAATCTTTCATCCAGCAGAAGGCCGCAGCTTCATAATATAATCTCAAGTCCGGCAGGGCAAACCCCCCTCTTTCTTTCAAATCAGTTAGTATTTTAAACTTTATCCGGGGCTTTTTGCCCTGCCAAACAAACTTGGATATATCCTTCTGCCACTTTCCAAAACATTCCACTCTGTCCACAATCTGTAGGGTTTGAAACAAAAATAACATTTTCGGCAATACATTCATTTTTATAGCTGCAATTCGACCCAACAAGGAAAGTTTCAATCTTGACCAGATTTCCAAATCCTTTTTTGATTTCCAGCCAACATTTTCATAGTTGTCTTTAAATAGATTCAAATTTTTCGCTGACAAGTGAACCCCTAGGTATTTTACTATTTTTACCACACTTAGTTCTGTGTCCTTCTGAAACCCATCTATTTCTGAGGGTGTCAAGTTTTTCCCCAAAACCTTAGTTTTTGCTTATTCAACTTAAATCCCGCCACCCGACCAAACTCATGAATCAATTCTAATACTCTTTTTGTACTAGATTCTGGCTCCTGTAATGTTAAAACCAAATCATCTGCAAAAGCTTTCAATTTATATTGTTTCGCTCCGACCTGTATTCCTTGTATCAACCGGTCCTTCCTAATCATGTTCAGTAACACCTCCAGGACTGAAATAAATAAAAGAGGGGATAGGGGCACCCTTGTCGTGTCCCTTTTTCAATTTTGAACTCATCTGTCACCACATTGTTCACTATCAGTTTAGCTTTTTGCTCAGAATAAATTGCTTCTATTCCATTTTCAAACCCCCGTCCCACTCCCATCCCTTCCAGGTTTCTCTTCATAAATATCCAAGAAATATTATCAAAGGCCTTCTCCGCATCGATGAAAATTAACACAGCTTTCGTATTGATATTAGTTTGTAAAAGTTCCAAAATATCAATAATGTTCCTGGTATTATCAAAAAGATGTCTCCCTGGGAGAAAGCCTGCCTGGTCCTTATGAATTACTTCGTTAAGTATTTTTTAAGTCTGCTCGCCAAAATATCAGCAAAAATTTTGTAATCCACATTTAGGAGTGAGATGGGACGGTAGTTCTTAAGCTGAGTCTTTTCAGATTCCAATTTAGGAATCAATGTGATGAAAGCTTCTTTCCACGTTTCCGGTGCCCTCCTCCCCTCCATAATCTGGTTACAGACCTCCATTAGTGGTTGTATCAAATAGTCTTTTAGTGTCTTATAGTACTTGGAGGTAAGTCCATCTGGGCCTGGAGATTTGCCTAGTTGCATATTCTGAATGGCACCCTCTATTTCCTGTCGTGTTATTCTATTATTTAAGATTGTCCTCTTCTCCTGAGATAGTTTGGATAGACCGTTAACTTTTAAAAATTGATCTATCTCAGACACTTCCTGAGGCCCTTGTGTATAAAGTTTTTGAAATATTTCTGGAAACACTTTCTAATTTCTTCTGGTTTCTGAATGTTTCTCCCTTCCACCTCTAGATTAGTGACAAAGTTCAATTTTTGTCTCTTTTTCAACTGCCATGCTAGCAGTTTTCCACATTTATTTGCCGATTCAAATGATCTTTGTTTCATTTGTTTGATTTTCCATTCCACTTCTTGATTTATCAATTTCGCATATTGAGCTTGGTGGAATTTGATTTCTCTTAAAACCTCTTTTGATTTTGGTTTTAATCTCAATTTTTTCTCTCCTTCTCTTATCTTCTCTAATATCCTATCTTTTTCCCATTCCAAAGTTTTTTCTTGATTGTGTTCTGTTGTATCAGAAACCCCCTCATTACAGCTTTACTTGCGTCCCAGATTGTTCTCTTTTCCACCGAAGTGTTCAAATTGATTTCAAAATAGTCCTTTAAAGTTTTTGGGCCTTCTTCACAATCTCCTGATCTCTTAGTAGGGTGTCATTCATTTTCCATCTGAAAGAACCGGTTGGAGTAAGTCTCAATTCCACTTTCAAAGCATTATGGTCGGAGCAAGTCTTTGGACAGATTTCCACTTTTCTGATCTTAGGTGCCAGTCCTCTAGTTGTCCATATTTGGTCGATTCTTGTCCATGATAGGTGGGCCTCAGAAAAGAATGTTCCTTCTTTACCTAAGGGGTTCCTTGTCCTCCAAATATCAATCAAGTCCATGTTATCAGTTAGTTCAAAGAAGGTTTTAGGTAGTCTGCCGTCTTTAGTTAAATTTTGATTTTGTGACTTATCCATGTGAGTAGAAACCACCCCATTCATATCGCCCATCATTATGATGTTGGTATAGTCCAGATAGTCCAGCATTATCTCATGCAGCTTCTTGTAAAATTCCGATTTCCCCTCATTTGGTGCATATATTCCTAAAATCAAAAACTTTTCTCCTTGTGTTTGTATCTCAATTGCCAAAATTCTTCCTTGCTCATCTTTAAACAGAAATTTCGGTGACAGGTTCTCCTTTGCATAAATCACTACGCCTCTTTTCTTCACTTTGTCTGATGAAATAAATTCTTGGCCTAGTCTTTTGTTGATTAACACTTTCCTATGGAGCCTAGTCACATGCGTTTCCTGCAAGCAAACAATATCCAATTGTTCTTTTTCAAAATATGAAAAATCCTTCGTCTTTTTCCGGGAGTTCCCGCCATTTATATTCCAACTGTACAGCTGCAGAGACATTCTGAATCAATCTGTTGTTCCTATAGTGGGGTGTCTTCCTTTTCTTCTGGCCCCGAGGGTGTAGGTATCGGTGCTTTTCCAGGCAGTGGCGGTGGCCAAGAGGCTGCTGCTCCCTTCTGAAGGTCTTCTCCGTGGTCGTGCAGGAACTTCTGGTTATCTTCTGATGTTTTAATCTTAATTTTCTTTCCTTTAAAATTAAAAGATAAACCTTGGGGAAACTCCCACCTATATGGAATCGCGTTTCCTCTCAGTAGTCTTGCTAGGTCTGTATATGTGGCTCTGAGATCCAAAAGTTGTTTAGGAATATCTCTATAAAATTCTGCTCTTTTGCCTTGGATATCAAGTGATTTCTTAAAGTGGAGGCCTAGTATTTTATCTCTCTCCTGCTTGGATCTCAAAATAATCAAACAGTCTCTGGGCTTGTCCCTCCTCACGACTCTTCCTAATCTGAACGCAGTTGTGATCTTGAAATCTTTGTCCTCTTCTATACCCCAGAACTTGGAAAATTCTGCTGTCAGATAACCAATTAAATCTTCCTGTTCAAGCTCTGGGATAGCTCTTAATCTCAGATTGTTTTCCCGGTTTCTCAATTCCACCATAGACAGGTAAGCCTGCTGATCACTAATGTGCTTGTGTAGTGGCCTTACCTCCCCTTTTATAGCCTCAACTTTTTGATTTGCTTGTTCTGCTTTTTCATTGGCTGCTTCAGCCAGTCTCCGATTTTCCACAGTTGCTTCCTTGAGATTCCCAATAACTTGTGTATGTTGTGCAACTTGGTCAGACAATTTAGTAATAGAGGATGTGGCTTGATCTATTTTTGCCGATTGGTCATCCACCTTCTTGTTCAATATTGCAAATTGTTCTAGCATTTGTTTTAAGAAGGTATCTGATCCTCCCTCTGCCATATCCTCTGATGCAGGCTGTGCAGTTTCCTTTTCTTGTACTCCCAAAACAGCTGGGACAGATGATCTACGTGACTGAGTAGTCAAAGTTGTTTGCACAAGTTGGGCTTGTCTTGCTTTCGTTTTAGCAGATCTTGTTTTCGGTTGGCCACTCATTCCACACCTGTCTATGAGTCAAGGTCAAGCTG